AGTATTGTTAGAAATACGTCTGGGGTCCCAAGGAAATGACCACACGATCCAAAGCATTTCAGCAAGACAAAAACTTTTTCCTCCTGCTGAAGGGGCAAGCACACACAGTTGGTTCCCACTGTGTTTTTACTCCTAATAAATGGTCTTGGGCCTCACTGTCAGTGTTTAGCGTTCAGCTTGTCATCCTTACATGACTGACTGACTGACTCGAGCAACTGAGTGGAGAAGCAGAAAGAAAGAAGCTTTGAGCAGAATGCAAGCTTGAGTTCAAAAACTGCTGAAGCTTTAAGAATCCGAATTTCTGCCATGTGGTTTCTTTGCACAGTTTTAGAGGAAAGGTTGTCTCGTGTAACCCCTTAGATAGGAAAACACAGCACGTTTTGTTTACATTTCCCACAGTATTACCCAACGGTGATGACAAGGCCAGCCACAGATCACCACTCACCTAGGACACTGTGGAACAAGCCACATGAATTCTGTTGAGCCCAAACAAATAAGCAAACAATAACAACAAAAGCCCTGCCTTAACCAATTGGGACAATGGAAAAGTTGAAAAGGTTTGGGGGCAGTCTCAAGAATTTTCTGCTTGTGGATGGGAACCAAGAAGGACCCACCCCTGTCCTCCCAATGTCCCAATGACAACCAAGGTCAATGGGGAATCAACGAGTTTATTTGGCGTGTGTGCAGAACATAGGCCACTCTAAGGCAGTCATACCCAGAATGGCTGACGGCTGTGCAGATGGAAACCCTCCCCCAAGCCTTCTTTGATTGTCTGCTCTACTCTGGACCCTGAAGACATGCAGTTTGGGCAGAAGCGCATACAAATGGCTGTGGTGGGTGAGGGGTGGCTGGATACTCAGATAAGGTTCCCATCCTTCCTTCTATGAGGTCACCTCTAAATCAATAAGTCTATCTGGGATCATTTTGTCAAGCAAATACAGCTGAGCTCATGAATAGCCGCAGTCTGGCTTACAGGATGCGGGGATAGCGCTGATCAACAGGAGTTGGTAATATGATTCAGTGGGCATTGCCACCAAGCCTGAAAACCTGAATTCAATCCCCAGAACCCATATGGTGGAAGGAGAGAACTGATTCCCACAAGTTGTCTCCTGACCTCATTAAAAACACTTAGAAGATAAGTAAATAAGTGTAATTTAAAATGATGGGTGTAGGGGACAGAGAGGTTTAGAATAGACTTCTCTTGGATGGCTCCAGGTATGGGTATCCTGGTCAGCAGGCAGTGCTGTGGCAGGGCTGGGGCATCGACTTATTCACACAAGGACACTGACCTTAGCTTCTCTGGACCTATAGGTTCTCAGGGACCTCCTTCGTGGTCTCAGAGTCTTGGCAATTTGCCACTCATGCCAAACAGGTTCTAATGGTCTCAGAATAAATAGGTAGCCTGGTGACCTCAGAACACACAGAATAGGACACACTGTGGTTTACATGGGTATAAGAGAAGACCGTCCCCATCTACCACCCAGGATACATCTGTTCTCTCTTTAGTTGGTACAAACACCCAACCTTGGTTCTAGGAACTAGACTCAAGTCTTCCAGAAGAGCGATGAGACTATCTTCACCTCCTGAGCCATCAGTCTAGCCCAGGGCTTGAGGTGTTAAATCACACATTACACTTTTGGTCACATTCACACAGCAGCTGTTAGTGACAGCCCACAGGCCATACCTCATCAAAACAGAATGTCAGCTCCACATCTAGACATCATCCTGCGCCACGTGTGAAAACCCAGACCAACACCTATTCACAATCCTACACTCTCACAGGTGGCAAGTCCTCAGTCCATCTCCTTGCTCTCTGCTTCCTTCACACACAGGCTCTCCTGCTGCTATGGACTCCTCTAAAACTCCGGGCAGATCACCTCACAGCACCAGCACACTGTGAATTATGTTAATCCTCAAGGATTAACCCACCAGTACAACAAAAGGTTGTAGATATTTGGGTCTACACAGTGCTATTGTGTATTGTAAGGGCCCGTCCCACAGAGGACAGAGTATGGATATGGCTTGACATGATGGCAGCCATCTTGAGCCACAGCTGCCATGACTGTCTGTGTCACCACAGTTGGGTTTTCCTGCTTATTTTCTTAGCAAACCATAACACAGAGCTATGAAAGCACATGTGCACTGGATGACTTGGAGGATGTGCCTGGCTCTTGATGGAATATGAAGATAAGCCAGAGACATTCTGGCCTGAGAGCATGCTTTTGTCCTAATCCACTCAATGCTTGGCTGCCCAACCCCTCTGGACCTTCCTCTGTCCGTAAGTTCTTCACTATACCTCACTGTGTGGTCCTAGCTCTGTCTGTCTTCCACCTCTCCTCCTCTTCCCCTCTCCTCCGTTTCTCTCTCTCTCTCTCTCTCTCTCTGTGTGTGTGTGTGTGTATACATTTGTGAAGGTGTGTGTGGAGTTTAGGAGTCAACATTGGGTGTCTTCGAACATCTCACTATACTGTCCTGGCTAGCCCAGCACTTCCTGTGTAGACTTGAAGAGATCTGTCTGCCTCTGCCTCCCCAGTGCTAGGATTAAAGGCGTGGGCTACCACACCTGGTTTATATACATTTTAAGTTTATTTGTGTGTGCACACAATGTGCCAACACATGTGTGCAGATCAGAGGGAAACTTTCAGGAATCACTTTTCTCCTTTTGTATCTCTGGGATTGAATTTAGGTTTTCAGGCTTGGTGGCACGCACCTTTATCCCCTGAGCCCTCTCATGGGCCCAATACCTTACTTTTTCGAGACAAGATCTTTAAAGAAACATACTGACTGACACAGCCAGCTGGAAAGCAAGTCCCAGGAGTCCTCGGGTCTCCATCTCACAGTACTGAGGTCACAAGTGTGCACCATCAAGCCCAGCTTTTATCACAGGTTCTTGGGATCCGAACTCCAGTTCTTGTGCTTTGCATAGCAAGCACTTTACTGACTGAGCCAGAATAACGTTCTTTGGTCCTGAGCACCTAGGGCCAGGGATTGAGTGTTCCAGAATGGGTGGTGTGCAAGGCTCTCTGGTTTCCTCTCCCAGATGAAGAGGAGGAGGAGCCACCCACACTGACAGCTCTGTTTGAGCTCATTCCTTTGATTCCTGTGAAAAGGTGACACGCCCTCCCACTTCTAGGGAACTGGCCAGAGCCAGCCCCAGAGGACAGGATGGGGATTTAGGGGCCAGGAGAAGCTCAAGATAAGTGTGGGCTGAGCCAGCTGGGGACAGCCACTGTCAGCAGGCGGTCGGTCGGCAGGTGAGAAGGTTAGTCTGCTCCTCTCTACCTGCTCCCCCAAGCAAGGAGCATCCCTTCTCTTACCCTCTCCATCACCCTCTCCATCACCCTGCTCCCTGCCTGGTTCTCAGGGTTGGGGGGGGGGTTCTGGTGTCCTCCAGAAGGGATCTTATGGGGAAGGTAAATAAGGGAGCTTTGGAGGCTGAGGTTTGGGATTCACAGCTCTGGGTTCATCAGAGAACAAGGATGAGAAAGATGCTCCAATCCACCTACCACATCCCCTTTCAGATCTAGCCTTGCCTCCACCAGCCAGAATCCACACAGAAGTCTGGATTAACACCCTTGGGGGGGGGCGGCAGAGGGGAAGGGTCTTGTCTCTTTCACCACTATGATGTGTGGCAGTCCAGTCAAATGTCCTTAATTTCAAGGTCCTGAGGACCTGCACTCTGACCATGACAGGTTGAGCCACCATCCCCTGGAGGTACCAGGGAGGATGACTGGGGACAGGAGGTGGTACTTCTCAGCACACTGCAGAAGTTTTGGATCCATGAGAAGAAGCGGGGTGTGATGGAGGGTGGGCCTTGGTGAGTGCAGAGACAGCTTAGGGTGGTCTCCCGGGCAGGGGACACAGCCCAGGCTAGGGATGAGGGTAAAACATGGAGTACACACGATGTTCTCTGTCACTCTCTCTCCATCTCTGACTTTGTCTCCCCATCTCTGTCCCTATCTCTTTATCTCTGTCTCTAATTCTCTCTGTGTGTCCTCTTTTCTCCTTTCTCTTTCTCTCTCTCTCTCTCTCTCTCTCTCTCTCTCTCTCTCTGTGTCTGTCTGTCTCTCTGCCTACCCTTGGCTACTGCTGTTCTTCTCTAGCAGCCCCTGTCCCCAGACCCTGGGCCCTCATACCTAGCACACCCCCAGACCTTGGACAAGGTCCACCGTGGGCTCTGTGGAAAGAGGGTTACTGCTCTGAGATCCCACTACATCTGAGCACCGAGAATTCTCCTGCTGCTAATAGCTCCCCAAGAAATCTCAGGACCCATCATCAAGGTCCCAGACTCTGATACAAAGCTTCAGAATTAGCCACAGTCCTTCAGGAGGACCCTGAGGACCCTTCAGGAGGACCAAGGTCCCGGGATGGGCCAGGTATAAGGACCCAGGCTCTAGAGACAGGGGCTGCTGAAGAGGAACATCAATAGGAAAGGAGAGGCAGAAAGGCAGAGAGACAGAGACAGACACAGACAGACAGACAAGAAAAGAGGACACACACACACAGAGAAATAGAGAACAGAGGCAGAGATAAAGACAGAGTGAAAACGCTCCAGATAGAGAGTGTGGGGAAGTCCTCTGAAGCCTCACCCAGCACGAAATAGATTGTGCTGGAGTCACCAGGCACCATCAGAGCCTCTTGGGTACCAGAGCCTCTTAGGTGATCACAGCCTTCGAGGAAAAGCCCTCACACCAGTACCACAATGGAAAAGAAAGGGGGGTCCCTACACCTGTGGCCCCTTTGTTTGAATGTGGTGGGCCTCTATAAGGGGGTGCCTCACTCAAATAGGGGTGCCTAACCAATATGAAAGCAGAGAATGCTTTCTCAAAGCCTGGCAGCTGTTAGGGGATGGGGGCCCTGGCTAGGATCACACACAGCTAGGAAGGGGACTAAGACAGCTCTGAGTCTCGAAGCTGGAGGCTCATGAACTCTTGCCTTCCACACACAGGAGCTGGTTAGTGAACAGAAGCCTCCCGGAACACCCACGGAAGCCAGCCAGGATGCTCTCCATTTTCAACATCTGGGGCACGTTCAGCAACGTGCTCTTCTACCTCAGCCTCGTTGTCAGTCTGGCAGGGCTGGGGGGCAACGCCCTGCTGCTCTGGCACCTCGGTCTGCACATCAAGAAGGGCCCCTTCAACATCTACCTGCTGCACCTAGCAGCCGCCGATTTCCTCTTCCTCTCCTGCCAGGTTGGCTTCTCTATCGCCGAGATGGTGCTGGGCCATGCGACCACGCTGCGCTTCCCCATCGTCTTCCTGTGGTTTGCCGTGGGGCTCTGGCTGCTGGCTGCCTTCACTGTGGACTGCTGCCTCACCTACATGCTCCCCTCGTTTTGCAGCCCCAACTGCCGCCCTAGGTACACCTCATTTGTGCTCTGCCTCCTGATCTGGGCACTGACCATGCCAGCCGTGCTGCTGCCGGCCAACGCCTGTGGCCTGCTGTACAATGGGATGAGCCTGCTGGGCTGCTTCAAGTACCACTGGATCAGTATTGTCTGGCTAGGGGTGCTAGTGAGCATGGCCTGTGGGGCAGCCATGGTTATCCTAATCTGTGGGAACTGCTGCTCTTTGCAGCCGCCCCCCAAGTTCTGCAAACTGGCCCAGTGCTCCGGCATCCTGCTGTTCTTCTGTCGCGTGCCCATGATTGTATACTGGAGCCTGCGGCCGGTCATAAAATTCCTGCTCCCCTTCTTCTTGCCGTTGGCCACTCTCCTGGCTTGCATTGACAGCAGCGCAAAGCCCCTCTTGTACTACATGAAGGGCAGGCAGCTCGGGAAAAGAGAGCCTCCGCGGGTAGTCTTAAACAGGGCTCTGGGGGAAGAGCCCCAGTCAAGTCTTGGGGCTCTATCTCTGCCCATGAGCCAAGTGTAGAGAGTGGCCATCCTGTGCCCACCTCCCCTGCCCTCCTAGTTGCCAAGGAATCCCCAGTCACGCTCAAACCCTTGCTGTGGCCCACCTCTGGTCCTGAGGATTTCAAGGCTCCCTCTCACAAGCAGGGGAGAAGGGAAAGGCTCCAGACTGCATGTTGAACATGCATAGGACATAGCAAGAAGGACAGGGATAGACAGAAGAGCAGGTGCATGAAGGAGGACACTAGAGTTACAGTGAAGGCATGTGGCCTACATCCCTTTGTCTCTAGAGCATCCAACCCAAGAAAACAGACCCTCAGCCCTGCCTCCCCTCCCCCCAGTGGGCCAGGCAACAGAAACTTCGCTTTCTCCTGTCATTAATGGGCCATGTGACTGGAACCTCCTGGGAAGCATTCTCTGCTCTTGGGGGCACCGGGACCTTATTTTGGATGCATTCACTAAAGGGTCTTATATAAACCATTCTTTCTCCCTCCCTCACCCCAACATTCCCCACAAAACCTTATGATCCAGGTGACTACACTAGGCGTCTCCCCAATGCTCTAGCCTGGTGTTATTCACGGAGGCCACGAGGTGGTGCTGTTTCATCATTAAACAGAACCAGTCTGTCCCGTCCCCAGGGTCACCCCAAGTTGTTGCCTCCTGGCCACTTCTGCCTCTCAGGTGCCCCCCTCCCCTGAGGGCCTTCACAGTGCCATCAGAGTGCCCCCTGGCTCCTACTCAGATCCCATGCCCATTTCTGGGCTCCTGCAAGGTTGTGATCAGTCAAGCTGTTCCTGCAGCCAGATTCACCTACAGTTCGAGAAACGAGAGAGCAAGACTTCCAACACGCACATTATTTTGTACATTTTATGATGGTTTTTTAAAAAATAAAAATAAAAAAACCTATCTTCATTGTTGTTCTTGAGGCATTCAAGCCCTGGGCCTGGAGAGGTGGCTCAGCAGTTGTGAGTACTGGCTGCTCTTCCAGAGGACCTGGGTTCAGTTCCCAAGAGGCACAAGGTGGCTCACAGCCATCTGTTCCAGGGGATATCGCATCCTCTTATGGTCTCTATAGGTACTGCATGCGCAGGGTGCACAGACGCATAAAATAAAAATATAAAGAACATTCAAACCTCATCAAAAACACCAGGAAAGTAAGCCACCAATACTCCCTCCAGCCAGATGGAAACAAACATATGATGTGAAAAACATTCCAATCATGTGGTTTTCTGACAGACACTCTCAGAAAGCCCCTCCCGTGTGTGTGTGTGTGTGTGTGTGTAGATGCCCATATGGATGTGAGTGTGGGCACACACACGTGTACATGGAGGCCAGAGGCACACCTTGGATTGTTGGCCCCCAGGAGCCACTCACAATTTTTGAGACAGAGTCTCTCTCACTAGGCCTGGTTGCTGATTAAGCTAGGCTGGTTGGCCAGCAAGCTCCCAGGATCCACCTGTCTCCATCTCCTCAGCACTGGGATTGCAAGCATGCAGCACCACACCCGGCTTTTACACGGGGCCCTGGGGTTTGTATTCAGGTCCCTAGCCTAACACAACAAACACTTTACCAACAGAGCTATTTATTTCGATTTTTTTTTTAATTCAAAGTAAAGACGCTCTTCCCATGCTATGTGAGACCCAGTACAGCAACCTGCTGTCCGCTAGATAAAGTTGTGCTTCTCCGTTTGAAAGGTAATGTGCTATTCACTGTGGGGACTTTAAAGAATGTCCTTAAAATGAGGGGGGGGGGGAGGAAACCAGTTCTCCTTGAGACGGAGCCCTCCAGACTGAAGTGGCTCCAACAGGGGATCTGGGAGACATTGAGACCCTTAGACTAAAGGCCAGCGTGGGTTCAGGGAAGGTGGGTGGAGGACCCAGTGGAGGAGGCTGGGTAGAGAAGAGCTACCTGTTTTTAATGCACTTCACACTACACCCCAAGGAACAGAGTGGCCCCATCCCAAAAGGCTTGCCCAAGTGTGGAGCAACCCCAAGGTCAACCACATCCTCCTTGCCCAAGGACACAGTTGCTGGGCGCTGTAGGGTCCATCTGTGTGCCAGAGGTGACAGGTGAATATCACAGCTGCCGACAGCCCTGGGGCATAGGACAGATGGGGGGCACAGGGCCTCTGCTCCCCAGGCCACTGCTGGATATGACAATGCCAGAAAAGTCTAGAGGCAGCAGCCATGTCTATCCCAGCCCTAGTGGGGCTCACATGGAGTGTCAAGACTGCCTCTGGGCTGGCTTAGGTTGAGGCAGATGCAGGACAGACCTGCCTCCATCACAGGGTGCCTGTGCTCCTGCCTTCCGGCACCCGTCTGTAGCTGGATGACCTCCAGAGGGTCACCTGGCAGCTTAGAAACAGTCTGCAGTGGAGACAGAAATTTGCCAGGACAGCTGAGCCAGGCTTTTGCAGCAGGTAGCTTGCCCTGATCTTCGAGGCCAAAGCCATCACCTATCATGCCAGGCAGAGATGCCCTGTGCACCCTACCCACCTGACCTGGCACCTCCACCTTGCTGCTGTCCCTGAAAGTGTTGTCTGCTGGCTTTGCAGTGCCATAGCTCTGGGCAGCAGGAGTCTGTTCTTAGCTCCTGTCTGGGCACCACACATACACACCGCCACAGCAAACCTGAGAGCCAGTGTGCTCTTTGCCGGCTTATTTCCACATCTCTCACTAGCAGGTGTGCTCCTGAGGGCTCAAAGCCAGCAAGCAGCAGTCTGACTGGATGAGAGGAGGAGCCGGGATGACCCCGTCCAACAGATGGATAGATGGGTAGGTATTCAGTGGAGAATAAGGTCAAAGGAATAAATGCTGCAGCTGATGGAAGCTGACTGTGTTGGCCAGGAGTTCTGGGAGCGTCTCTGTCATAAGTGATGTCATCATAATTGACACTAGACTAGTGGAGCCAGATTCTCAGGCTTCCCTGATTCCAGCAACTCCATTCTAAGCCATGGATGTGGTGCTGGGGGTGTGGGCCTGCCTCGATAGCTTCTGTCCCGAGGAATTTTTTCTCTATTATTCTCCATATTCTTCCTTTCTTTCTCTTTCTTTCTTTCTTTCTTTCTTTCTTTCTTTCTTTCTTTCTTTCTCTCTCTCTCTCTCTTTCTTTCTTTCTTTTCTTCCTTTCTCAACACAGAACATACCAACCTAGAAAGAAATCCTGCCCAGTATCTGTCATTCCCCACTCCCATGTACCCCAGCCTGACAACTGCCAGTCTGACAACTGACACTGTCTGGACTAATAAATCCACCATGGATAGGCCAGTCTGGGCAACTTACAGAAATGGGGTTGTGCATGTCATGGCCTTTGACACCTGGTGTCAAAAGCATGACAGTTCCAAGGGTCACTTATACTGTAAAGGCACTCTAACACTCCACAGTGTGGGCATGTGACATTTTGTTTAGCCATTCATCAGCTAATGGACGTTTGGGTCATTTCCTCCTCTCACTACTGTGACAAAGCTGACAACCAGGGGTATCCTGGACAGGTAACTGTTTGGACTCCTTTGGGCATAAGCCCAGGAACAGAACTGCTGGTGGGTAGGCAATGTGACAGGCAGTTTCTTGTTTTTCCAAAGAGTCAGAATAAAAGAACATTCTGGACGAGGCAGAGTCGCGCCTCTTGGAAAGGTCTCCTTGGTCCTCCTCTCACAGCCTGCAGGCTATGTCCAAAAACCGCTGGACCAGGTATGCTGCTGATAGAATATGTGACCTCTGACCTCTGCCATGGTGTTGGCCTGCGCTCAGTACAGGGTGGGGTCCTACCTTCCAATCAACTGAGCCAGTTCTGTGGCCCTGCTGTGGGTCTCCTGGGAGGAGTTCTCGCTGGCCATGTAACAAGTGGTGAGCAGGCGTCCGCAGAGCTCCCGGGGTTCCCTCGGGGTGTAGTTGAATTGCTGTACCAGGTTTTGGACGTCTGCCAGCACTTGCTGATCTGGGGCCACCACGGCAGGATGGGAACCACTGTCTGCAAAAATCCTGGCCTCCCTCCCAAGGGCCCATGTAGCCAGACCACATCTTTCAAGTGCCAGCATCTGTTCATCTCCCCGGGGCCCACATAGGTGCCATGTAGCCCTGGTCTGATCCTCCCACACATTAGACCCAGTCCATCCTGACGGCCCACCTAACTACGCCCTAGTCTGCAGTTAAGTTCCCACAGTCCGCCTCCCAAGTTTGCTTGCATCTAGCTCCGACTGATGACCCTAGAGGACACAAATCTAGCCTGGTCCATTGCCCACATTCCTAGAAAAACCAGCAAGTCCTTCTCCCAGGTGTCTGCACACTGGATCCTGTGCACACAGGGCTAGCTGTGCGAGCTCAGTGCTGTGCTCTAGGCTAACCTGTGCTCTGTGCTGGGCTAACCTTCTGCCCCTGAGCTGCTTAAGCTGTTCTCAGGGCCACTGCACCCATGGAGGAATAAGAAATTGACCTAGGAATAAGAAATTGCCAGACCCCAAAGCCTGTGTCCTCCCGACGGCTGACAGACAGTGGTAGACAGACAAGGTCACATCTGCTAACTGCTCAGGAATGGCTGTTACTGGCCTGGGTTCTGGGACTTGAATTGGACCGATGCCATCTGTACCCAGCAACAAAGCCTCCCTCACCCACGGTGCCCATGACCTGGGTTTGTTCTCTGTTCCCTGACTGGTTCCCCACCTGTCACCCTCCTCAGATGAATGGACATCATGCCACCTACTTCCGCTTTTCACAGCCTCGCAGATCAGGCAGCACATGGAGTAGACAATGCAGGCGCTGGCTGCACTGTCTACACCGCCACTCAGGGGCAGGAAAAACCCGGCCTGGAAGGGACCAACCAAGCACTGTGTGAAACGAACTGCAGACAGGCTGTGCCCCACTCAATCCTCAGCCTACCTCAGTGCTGTGAGTCCCAGAGCCCTACAGGAATGCTGGGCTCAAGAGCCATCGCTGGAGTGGACAAATGAGCCATGGGCATGACAGAGGTCTCCTAGAGGTCAGGAGATGCTGTTCTGGGTCCCGGGTTGCCTTTCCAGCCCTATGATAAGCCCACACCGGGAGATGTGGGAGTTCCTCCAGTTCTCAACAGCTCCACAGACCACCAGCTTCAAAGAAGCCTTCCCCCATCTGGTCTCTGGCCAGTTCAGATATCCTCCCCCAAAGAAAAACATCATTAACCCACCCTAGACCTGCACAACAGCCAGGAGAGCACTCAGGAAGGGGCAGGGACAAAACAGCCTACCTGTTTGCTCCGTCGGAGGAAGTCCCAGAGCCAGCAGGCAGGTCCGAGGCTGCAGGGGATGACAGTGTTGAGTCTGCAGCTGTAAGACTGGCTCACTGCGCCTGCGCAGTGGCCCTGCATGGGGACCCCCAGAAGGCAGTACAGAGACACATCCCCAGGCCTGGGCTCTTCTTGGCCCATCTGCTAAGCACTTCATGTCAATCTGGGCATTTCAGTTCTGAAACAAGTCTGGGGGAAAACCCCAGAGGTAGCACAGATAAAATGGGGACACTGAGGTCTGGAGCAGGGCCTCGGAGCTTAAGGTCACAGTACAGGGAGACCACCTTGAGAAGAACCAAGGCAGCCGGACATTATCAGCCATGGCGGGTTTTTTTGTTCATTTGTTTGGTTTTCTTTTTTTTTTTTTTCTTTTTTCTTTTTTTGGAGACAGGCCTCACTATGTAGCTCTGGCTGTCCTAGAACTAACTATGCAGCAGCCATTATATCTTTAGCTCCAATGAAGCACAGTGGCCAACCTAGGCAGATTCCTCACATCTGGCAGACCTTGGCAACCACTGAGACGATGGTGTCTACGCAGCAACAGGATCCAGGCCCAGGGGGCACCCACCTTATCTCCTCCTCAGGCCTGTGGTATGTCCACTCCACAGGCTCTGACACTGGCTCCAACAAGTCTTCACTGATCGAGAGGGCAAAGTCCACTGTCACCCGGGGGTATGGGCTCACCTTGCTTGCCTGTTGGGGGAGACATCAGCACACAGTGACAGCTGCAGTTTGGAGCCTTTATGGGTGAGGAGCAGGACTCCAGCAGCCATCAGAGATACAGACAAGCTCACGGGGAAGCAGAATGGACTGATCAAAGTTGACAGTGCTGACAAGGGCTTGCAAGGACAGAGAAGTCATAGGATCCCCCCCCCCCAACTGTGGGAGGGGGAACAGCTACTCAGGACAGCAGTCTGATAGCTCGTCAGTAGCCTGAACATGAGGGCTACATAGGAGTCAAGGGACTTATTCCTGGACAGACACACCCAGGAAAAAGGAACCCATGCTTACTCAACAACCTGGAGGAATGGGTGAGTACCCAGCGGTATAGCCCCTGAGTGGAGTACTACTGTGCCCTGAAAAAGAGCAAAGCTCCATTATGCTTCCACATGGCAGAACCCCAAGGTTGCTATATTTAGCAAGAGGAGCCAGGCATAGTAGCACACAAGGTGCGACACCATCTCTGAAAATGTTCCCACCCCTATAGGCAGAAAGCAGAGTAGTAGTGGCTAGAGATCAGGGCACAGAAACAAGGTGATCTGTGTCTCTGCATGGTTCCACACACTGGCCCCACAGCCTTGGCCAAGCCGGCAGCACACTGGGCCACCCGAAAGGCTTGGCTGAGCTCTCAGGCTGGCATCTCCCAGGGCACTTACCTCCAGGTTCCGAGATGAGATCTCTGCCCTGTAGCTCCGGACATCCTCCAGGTCTAGGGTGGCAGTGAGGACCTCTTGGGTGAGGAAGAGGGAAAGGACAGGATTGCTGTCCCATGTGAAGGGGTCAAACCTTTCACAGCAGAGGCTGGGCACCCAGCAGGGTAAACAGCATCACTGCCCTCCTTGAACTCTCTCCTCTTTAAAAAGAAGTATTTTATTTTTAATTATGAGTATGTGTGTGTGACTGTGTGTATGTGCATGTGAACGCAGTTCCTGTAGAGGCCAGCAGAGGGCATTAGACTCCTGGTGCTAGAGTTACAGGTGGTTGTGAGCTGCCTGACACTGATGCTGTGACCTGAATCATCTCTCCAGCTGCACCCAACTGGTTAACACCAGTCTCCCGACTACATTTAAACATTTCCCAGCAACCCACCAGTTACAGCAGGAAACACAACTCTGACAGTAACCAGGGGAAGGGGGTGTTTCAGGAAAAGTTCTGTTTACTTAAAAGACAGACAGGGAGCAATGGCTCCTTCTTCGACTCTGAACATAACCACTTATAAATGGGATGGCTGGAGCCACTGCAGCCATTCTATCACCAGAAAATGAAGCCAACACAGAGGAAAATGGAAGGGGTGTACAGCGTGGGGGAGTAACATGGAAGTCCACATCCACATCTTCCAGGCATTGAGCATGCAGCTCACCAGCCCCTCTGAGGACTGTGTGGTCCCCCGAGGTGAATCAGTGGGGTCTGTGCAGGGTTGCCCTCTGCCTGTCTCTTGCCTGCGCCTGAACGTGGGCGGCGCCAGCCCATGCACTGGGGTTCCAGACTGAATAAAAAGGAGAAAGTGAGCTGAGCACCAGCGTTCATCTGTCTCTGCTTCCTGACTGTAGCTACAATGTGACTGGCTCTCTCAGGATCCTGCCACCATGCCTTCCCACCATGATGGACTGTGCTCCCTCAAACCATGAGCCAAAATAAACCTTTGCACCCTAAAGAACTTCTGTCAGGTAATTTGTCACATTGGTTAAGGTGTGATATATCACTAATTATAGAAAAGTTACTAATGCAGGGCTAAGGCCTCCCTTTAATATGTGGGGTCCAGACTGTGGGGAAACAGAAAGGTTTGGACAGGCTAGATGCCCTTGAGAATAATATCCCTAGTTAAGCTTGATGGTCACTATTTCGTATGACAGGACCAGGCCTAGTGTCAGTTAATCCCTGACTGGGGCTTCATGCTCCTAGCCTCCAGAAGGAGTCAAACAAGACCCTTGCATGGAGCCAGATGACCCTGTGTCCCAGACACTATGGTATCTGCAACAACGTGCTCACCACGGCCTGGGGAACTCCTCCCTAGCCTATGTCCAGCATGGACATTTTTCTCTGCTCTGTGCTTAGCCAAAACATGCCCTTAGGGGATCCTTCCTCACAGCCAGGGGAGAGGGAGATACACAGATGGGACAGTGGACTGGTAGTATGAAGGCCGCACCCCATCCCCATGCTTAGCTCATTACCACATCATCCAATGAGAACTGAGTGCCCTGGGCGAAGATGCTCCCATTCATGGCAATCATGGCACAGCCATCATAGTAGAGACGGTCACCGTCACAGCCCTTCTGGTTGGCTAGCAAGTAGATGCCACCATTCTAGAAGAAACAGTGGTGAATGTAGGGCTGCCAGTGCTGGGTATAACCTGTGCTTGCCAGCAGCAGTTGTACAGGACACCTAGATGCACCAGACCGCCATTCTCCACCCGGTCCTAAGCTGCCATTGGCATCCAGACTCTGACAGAGATGGTAGGTACAGGTGGGGTCACAAAGCCCCATAGCTCAAACTCATGTGGGCTTGCCAAATGTTGTGCTACAATTTCCTCCATGTTGAAGCATCAGGAAGTCAACAATTTACAAGTCTCAGAAAGTTCCTGAAACTCACCAAATGCACAAGGCCTCTCTCCAAAGTCACATAACCATAAGGATGGCTAAAAGGCTTTCCAGACCAGCCAAGCTCTCTGAAGAGATTTTCTGACCTGTCAAACTGCCTGCAAGTTGTGAAAAGAGCTACAGCATTCCAGCTTGTATGAGCTGTTGATGGACTTTGGTGATGCAGGCGCCTTTGATTCATCCTTGTTCCTATCTGTAACTACCTCACTTATATTGCTGGGTAATTCCAATAACTTCATTGGTTTACCACGTTGAATTTGGTGGGATTATTACTTTGGTATACTGTTGGTTTCCTAATCTGGGGTAAGCAGACCTGTGTTGGGTCTTCCCAAGAATAGTGTCATATGACACCAAGAGTCGGACATCCCATAGAATAGTCACTTTTACTTTCCCTCAGCCCTCAGTGTAGCCCTGCTGACCCTATCTGACAGGACCACTGCAGCTAGAGCAGTAAGATGGGGCATTGAGCTCTGGGGCCACTAGAAGCACTGGTGACCTTGGTGATTTCTGTGAGGGCTGGATGGTATCTCCCACCTCCCACTTACCATTTTCAACCTCGGGAATGTCTCTCTAAACCAAGGACCAAAAACAGGGCTCTACTGTGTGAAAGGTCAGTGGCAGGTACATACAAGTTGGTATGTGTCTCTATGACAACCACAGACAGGAGCACATCCTGGTTCCCTGTCCCAGCAGTGTCAACAGAGTCTGCTTTGAACAATGGCAGTTAGGACCAGGTGATATGAGAAGAGGAGCCTGGGAGGGACCAGCATGGCAATGGAATACAGCCTGAAACCACAGCCCTAAGTATACACCAGAAGTGGCAGAACCCTGCCCCAAGTGCCACTTCTCCTGGGGGTTCCCCTGATGGGGGTCACAAGCCCCTAACTTGTGACCCTGCTCTAGCCACCCTACCCAATGCCCACCTTGGAGGTGGCCATGGTCACCAGGTCCACCCTGGTGTGGGCTTTGCGTAGCACATGGTGGCTGCCCGAGGCATTGGTGATGATCTCTACACCATCCAGGCCCATGTCAACGTGGGGGCTGTGGAGAGAGTCAGGTGGAGTGACTTCTGGGCCCCTCTGGCCCCTCAGCTATCTATCTGGGGGGACCTCCATAGTTAAGGACATGACCTCAGGAGGCTGCAAAGCCTGCGTCCTCCCACTGGTTAGTCCAGGATGGGGAATGGATGGCACAGGGAGCCGGCTGACCTGCGTGGTGTCCAGAGCTCCTCACAGACCTCACTCCCAATGCAGGTGTCTTCGGTGGCTAGAACCGCATCTCCAAATGGCACAGTTGTCTGCAGTGGAGAGAAAAGACCACTTTAGATCTCAGGGCTGCCTACCAAGCTACACCCTGGCCTCCTACTTCCTGAAAGCTACCACACTGTTCCAGGCTCTCACTACGGCCCTCCTCACCTTGGGTGTGCTCAGCCCCAGCATAAGCTAATTCTGATGACCCCAGGCTTTCCCATTTCCACAGTCGTGACTACAAGCCATACAGCTTTAGTAAGGCTGCAAAAGGCCCTTTCCTCCCCTCCATCTTCTGCCACAATGTCACCATTCACCAAGGCTAAAAGAACAGCTAGGACCTAAGTCCACAGTGTGACAAGAGGGACAAAGCTCAGAGATGTGCCCACCACCAGCCAGTTGTCTGTGGTTTCCCAGAACTGTCCCTGAATCAGAGTCTGCCCCCTGCTCAGGGCTGACTCTGGCAGCCTGGCTTGCAGCAATCAGCCTTCCTGCACTCACCACGGAAGTTCCCCTCTGTCCTTTCCACTTCTGCAGCTATGCTCTGACTCCACCCAGGTGCTCCTCCTGTGTCCCGCCCTTAGCCTGCACTGGCAGGAAGTCCCGGGAAGGATGTACCTGCTTTGTCAGGTCCTGTAGCATCCGAGGGAGGACATAGTCCTCAGTTTGCCTGGAAGGAGAGAATCAAAGCTGAGATGAGATCCTGGGAAGCAGGAAGCACAGCGCAGGCGCAGGCCCTCAGTGTAACCATGCCATGCTCCTGAGACTGTTTGTCCTCAGAGGCCTAGGACAGACACTGCAGTACTCATGCATACTGAGTGTCTCTGCCTCTCAGGATTTTCTCAGAAACTTCGGGGAGGAGGGACTGGAATCAGGTCACCATGCTAAGGAAAATAGGGTGGGATGCCCAGCCTGGAAAAGCCCTTTGACGTTCACTCCCAGACATGACCACGCCTACATTACCAATAAGACCATAGAGTCACAGGCCACAGCTGTTGACAGGCAGAGTGTTTGCCACGAACAGCCTCCATCTACAGAGTCTCAAAGATCTACTCCAGCGGACTCAATTACAAAAACACGGAAAATAAAAAGGTAAAACCTCTGACTTCCAACAAGCCACTCCAAGCGCACTGCTTAGACGCTGAGTGCAGCAGACTTTTCTGTTTGCTTTCTTGGAATTCGTGGCTTGGGGGCACACTGCCAGTAGGTCTTTTACTTCAGCAAAATGCCAGAAGTTGAGGAGCTGAGTGGACAAGGCCTCTCCTCCCTCATCAACATTCACTCTCCGTTTGAAAAAGGCAGGGCTGGAGAGATGGCTCAGCAGTCAAGACCTGATTTCCATCCTAGCAGTTGTGAATGGCAGTTCACAACTGGCTGTAACTCTAGCTCCAGAGGATCGATAGCCCTCTTCTGGCCTCTGTAGGCACTACACTTATGTACACATACTCCCACACAGACACAAACACAGACACACATGAATACAAATAAAACATATTTTTAAAAATTCACAGTAAAGATAAAGGATGGTGAGATGTAAGTCTGATGCCAAGTGAGGAAACTCAAAGAGATTTCTGGTTAGTTGGGAGGATGGCAGAAATATGAGCCTTCTGTTCTAGGAATAACCTGGAATGTTACAGAAATGCTGGCCAGAGACAGTGATGTTGGGCTGAAAAATGTGAAAACAGAAAGAGGTCATGAGGAGCACATTATATAAAAGTTCTACTCGATGGAAAGGCGAAAAAAGTCAACTCAACTACGAGACAGCATCAGAATTCACAAGGCCGTCAAATACAGAGCAGCTCTCGGAACCCAACCCGTTTTCCTCTGTCAACTGCCAACCATTTAAAGTGCAACACTAAAGACCCTGTTTATAAGGGCAAAAGGCAATTACAAAAGGGGCTAACTGTGGGGTTTGAGTAAGAATGACTCCCATATGTTCATATAGTTGAATGCTAGGGCGTGGCACTATTTGAAAGGATTAGGAGTCGAGGCCTGGTTGCAGGAAGTGTGTCACTGGGGATGGACTTTGAGATTACAAAAGCCCAAGCCAGGCCCAGGGTCTCTCTTTTCCTGCTGCCTGTGGATCCGGATGTAGAACTCTCAGCTACTTCTCCAGCATCACATCTGCCTGTGTGCCAGCATGCTCCCAGCCATGATGAGACTGGACTAACCTTCCGAAACTGTAACCAAGCCCCAATTAAATGCTTTCTTTTAAATGAGTTACCACGGTCATGGTGTCTCTTCACAGCAATAGAACACTATTACAGTAACCTAAAACACAGAGCCGGGCTTCCCGGCTGGGGGCATTTGGCCCTAGGAAACATTTAGTAAAGTCTGGATTAATTGGTTTTTTTGCTCTGTGACAGGATCTCATGATCCCCAGGCTGACCTGGAGCTCACTAAGTTGCCAAGGGTGACTTTGATGCTTTAGCCTTCACCTCCAAGTGCCAGGATGAAGGATGTACACAACCATGCCTGCCTGGCGTAGGGGTCATTTCGGTTGGGGTGCCTCTAACCAGCACATACTCCACAGGCCAGCCCCCACCCCAAACCAGAATCACCTGTTCCCAAAGGTCAAATGGACCATGCTGCGAGTCCTTGCTTTCAAGGACAATTGAGACACTGTGTCCCTCCACTTAAGAGTGACCAGTGACCACTGACTGGTGGCTTAGGTCTTGTGGTGTCTACTGGCTCAGATTTGAACTGGCAGCAGGAAATCAGCCATGTCTGAATGGCAGGAAGTCCTTCCACCCTCCCCACTGCTCTCAGCGTTCCGTGGCTAAGGCAGCATGTACTGAGGACATGCAGCGAACACGTGTGTGTCTGGGACCACGGTGCAGCTGAGCCACCTGTCACTCACCGGCTCCTGGACCAGGGGGTGAACCAGCGCAGTTCCCGGTAGTTGCCTTCGTTGGCCAAGGCCATCTTGGGTCTGATGAGCAGGATCTTCCTACAGCAGGTAAAGGACTGCTCACACCAAACTCCTGAGACAAGCAGGAATCAGCCACAAAACTTGTCCCATCGGATAAGGTAAGGCCACTGAGCTGGTTCAAGACCAGCACCCTGAGAATACCTGTTTGTTTGTTTGTCTCCCCCCTCCCCCAGGCTTATGCTTTCTGTTTGGGGAAAAAGAAAAGAAAAAGAAAAGAAAAAAAAAAAGGAATCCAAGGCTCCATCCACCCAACAACCTCCTTTACTGGAGGCTGGTGTGTTGGGGGTGGGTTTTGTGTGTATGTGTGTGAAGGACACTCCCCTCACCTTGTCTACTGTCCAGGTGTCAAGGATAAAAAACAAAACAAAACAAAACAACCAACAATCCCAACCTTGGGTCTCCTCCTCTAGCCTGCATGAAGGCGGCTGAAGCCCAGAGGAGGAGATTCACAGGGACTGCTGAGCCAGCGTGCTGGGCTCAGGAAGGGACACCCCCACAAGTGCCAGGCACAGGCACGCCAGCTGCCCTCCTCCTACCTCACCTACCGGTGGAGGAAGATGACTCTGCAGTTGTAGCGAACGTTCCGGTGCATTACAGGCCTGCAGAGAGGAGGGAGGGCGCGTGTCTGCCCTGTCACAAGAGCCCGGCAAGCAGGGAGGGGGCACTGACTCCAGAGTCAGCTGTGTGTATACAGGCGCACACCCAGGCATGCACGCGCGGACCACGGACATCACAAGTCCTCCTTACGTTATCAGCTCCACCTTACGTCCTCTCCAGACCAGCCTTTGCTGTGTGTATGCTCATGCGTGCATGCAAGCATGTGCACATATATATGCGAACATGTACGTGTTTGTACACATCTGCATGCATGAGTCTGTGTGCACAGGCGCATGTAACACGCTTGTGCATGTGTATCCGCACATACGAGTACATGAGGGAAGAGGTGTCAGATCCCTGCAGCTGAAGTGACAGGTGAGCTCGTGTGCTGGGTGGCGCCATACTTGAGGAACCCATGCCACATGAGGCTCCATGGCTTCCATGTCCCCAGGAGCAGCTGCCCACACTCACCATGAGGAAAACTAGGTGGCAGGATGCACATACAGCTTGCATTTGTGTAGAGTGTGCTCACGGGCGCCCAGACACTCCTGGAAGAACTAAAAACTGCTTCCAAGAGCTGTTGCCTTGGCGAGGATAAGTGGCCAAAGGGCTGAACAGAAGGCACATTAACCTAAGGGCTTTGGGGGCTCATGAGGAGCCACAGCCCCAAATGAAGGGAGCACTGGCTGCAGGACACCCTGGAACTTGCCTTTTCTTTGGGCTTCCCCTTCCATACCCTCATGGTGGCACTTACATCCCCACGTCACAGATGATGTCCTGAGTGATCGGAGAGTCCAGAAGGGCAGCCAGAACTTGCAGCGAATGCAGGAGAGTGTCTGATTCATGATAATGATCCCAACAGCCATAGCCACTAAAGAGAGAGGAAGTAGGCCAGTGAGGGGCGAGGAGGGGCCCAGGGCTCTCATGACAGGTTGGGTTAGGTGCCAGGCTTTCCAAAGTCACCGAGTTGAGGAAGTTACTAAGAACAAATCCAATGAGGGGCACAGACAGTCTTAGACGGCATGGGACACGGAGCCTTTGTTGGAGTCAGGATTCTATGGAGAGACTTAGACGAGGGAAGCAGGTAAATCCAGGAAGATAAAGTAGAAGGTGCCTTGGGACTAACAGAAAAGTGCAGAAGTACAATCCCGCTTCCCTTATGTCCAGACATTCACTCTATGGTTCTCAACCTTGCTAATGCTGTGACCCTTTAACACAGTTCCTCATGTTGTGGTGACCCACAATCAAAAAATTATTTCATTGCTACTTCATAACTGCAATTTTGCTACCATTATGAATTTAATGTAAACACCTGATACACAACCCCAAAGGGCTTGTGACCTACAGGTTGAAAACTGTTACATTAGAGCACGGTAGGGAGGGGAACAAAGAGGAGAGAACATTCTGGAACCCACAGCCAGGAGCCTCAAAGATAGACAGGAAATAGCAGAGCATAGCTGACAGCTGGTAGTTACCTCCAGACCAGAGAGGACCTACCCCTTGTAAGACACACAAGGTGGTGGCCCAATAAGAGAGCAGAGGATACCAAGTCATCGGTTTCTCTATTGTCACAAAATGGGCACCAGGGAGAGACCATTGAAAGATGCTGAGATGATGGAATAAAACCTCTTTTTGGCCAAACAGGAAAATAAAAACACAGGATTAGTAAGATGGCTCAGTGGGGTCAAAGAACTTGCTACCAAGACTGATGATGGCCCAGATTTGATCCCTCAAACCTACACACAAACACACACACACAAACACATAGCACATGTATACAAAATAACTGCAATAAAAAATTTTTAAGAGATTGGAGAGATAGCTCACTTGTTCTTGCAAAGAACCTGGGTTCAATTCCAGCACCCACATGATGGCTCACAGCCATCCATAATACCAGTTTCAGGGGGCCCAACATGTTCTTTTGGCCTCTGCGGGCACCAGTCAGGAAGGTGCTTCACAGAGAGATGTGTAAGCAAAACACCCATACACATAAAATAAATACATCTAAATTCTTTTTAATTAAAAAAAGAAAATGAAAGCCTCAGGAGGTGTCTCAGTACAGACCTGCCATGTTAAATGCCACAGGCGCCCACTGCACACAGCTCTGAGGCTGGAGCTGCAAAAATCAAAGCATCTGTAGAATAAATGTCTGCTACAGGCTGCTCCCTGCTTCAAATATGGTCCCTTCATTGCTCCTCGACATTCTGGCTTAGATTAGTTGCAAAGAAGGTAACTTGTAGGTGGCCTCATGTTGGAGAGACAAACAGGCTTCCTGGTGCCTTTATATAAGATGCTACTCATGATGATTTAATCCCCTCTCCCAAGCCCTGCCTCTCAGTACCATCACCCTGGGACCAGGTTTCAGCAGAATGTTGGAGAACATTGAAACCACAGCCATCAGGGAAGGTGGGGCAGCCTTGCTTTGAATTCAACCTCACTCCCCTATTTAGCCACCAGGAAGCCTGGAGTTATCTAGTCTCTCCCATCTGCCCTGACCCAGGCCCACTCTTAAGTTGCTGATGTCCTAAATGGTTTGCATTTCTTCTGCTCTCAGTACTGTCCCATTTCTTCCTGTCTTTTGATACTACTATCTGCCCTCCCAGGGTTGGGGTGCTGGTGTGCTTAGCCATACCATATTTCTAGTTCTGGTCCAAGCCTGTATCTTGCACCTTTGTCTTTGGCAATTTGAATACCTACATGGAGAGAGAGAGGGAGAAAGAATTCAGCAGCTAGGTCACATTCAAAGGCAGGAAAAGCAGGCCGCTGCAGTACATACAGCCAAAGCCAGGCTCTGTGACGCTCCCAGGCTACTGCAGCCCGTTCTGTTAACAGCAGAGGACAGTGGGCACCTATACACACCTGTATACACTTGCAGGAAATCAGAAACAGGGAGCACAGGGTGACCTTAGCACTGGGGAGGGCTAAGTCAGGCCCTGATAAGTAATCATTAAGCAGGCACCAAGGCAGGCTATTAGAAGAAGCTGTAGACAGGATGTGAGGGTTTCTAACCATAAGTACCAGCACCCAGCATCCACACCAGCTTGAGAGCTGCCACCAACATGCAGTCAAGGCAGCCCATCTTCACCCCAAAGACATATACTCTGACAACAAAAGCTGGTTAATAGATACTTTTTTAAGAGACGAAAACGCCTGGGCTGGCCAGATGTCTCAGGAGGTAAAGTCACTGCTGCTAAGCCTGACCATCTGAGTTTACTTGGACCAGCGGTTCTCAACCTTCCTAATGCTTCGACCCTTCAATCCAGTTCCTCATGATGTGGTGATACCCCCCCAACCATAAAATTATTTTCATTACTACTTTGTAGCTGTAATTAATAAATCATAATGTGAGTACCTCATATGCAGAACATCTGATATATGACCCTTGTGAACGAGTTGTTTGACCAGTTTGACACCCTCCCCCTCCCACCATAGGGGTTGTGACTTACAGTTTGAGAACTGCTAACTTAGACCCACATGATGGAAGGAGACACTGACTCCTGCAAGTTGACCTCTGACCTCTACGTGCACACCGCGGCATGTGCGTACACGCAATCAGGAATAATAAATTTGGGGGTTTCGTTGTTGTTAAAAGCTGAACTGCTACATCTTGCTCCTGTTTCGCCGTCTTGAAGAGGCAGCTCAGCACAGACAACCTGAGGTGGGGAATCTGCAACTCAGCTTTGCTCAGAGCAGCCCCAGTTCGAGTTTGAGGTCAACGGTGAGCTGACATGAATGTGACCAGTAACAGGGATACTCAATGGCAACACTCTTCTCTGAGCTGAGGGTTCATCCTTTACTTGACTCCTGAGTTCATAAACCCATCTACCAGGAATGTCCTCAGGGACCCTGACCTCACTGAAACAGCTCCAAGGATGGGCAGCTCTGACCCAGGGGACCTTAGCAATCCACCAGATCCTAGAAGATGGCTGAGGGCAGTGTCTACCCAGCTGGCAGGGCACGCCTATCTCCACTCCTGCCTTGCTACTCCACGTGTTCCCCAAACTGGTGAAGTCCCCGTGAAAGCTCGCCAGGGCCACTACTCTTTTATACCACGCCCAGCGCTGAGTCTTTCCTGGGCAAAGAGGTGTGCACTGTGTCTTGACTGCCATACCCTAATCATTGTGGACTTCCGACTTCTGCCTCCCGCCACCCCCAGACTCACTCTTTAAAATCCTCTGGAAATTGCCCTCAAAGTCCAGGGCCCACTGGTTGAGCGCACAGGTGGCCACGGTCACCTTCCGGCCCATCTTGGTTGCTGGGACGCTGTTTAAAAAGAGATCCTACAGCAGCTTCCAGCCAGACTACCTGGCTTGCGCCTGCGCAGAGCGGCCTTCCTAAAGGCCCCGCCCTTTTGCCGGCCATAGCCCTCCCCCTGTCGTTTTAACCCTTCTTTGGCACCAACTCCAGTAGCGCGCTTGCGCAGAGCGTGTCCTACCTGGAAGCCCCGCCCCTATGCCCACCCACAACCCTTCTTCACACTTTGACGCAGCACGCCCTTCTGTGAGCCACAGCAAAGCGCTGTTTAAAATAGGGCATCAAGGGCGAGGTTGTCTCAGAGCCAAGTCCTCAATGGTTTGTCCAGGATAGATTTCTTGGCTGCCTTATGAAAGCCTCACGAAAGGCTTGTGTCTGCCACCAAAGGTGGTGTCTGGTTTGCTTTCTGGCACTGTGATAAACACGTGACCAAAAGCAGCTGGGGAGGAAAGGGCTCACTTGACCTTCAAGGCTAGCTCAGCCTACTTTTTAATGCCGCTAAGGACCACAGCCCAGAGGTAGCGCCATCTCCCAGTATTGCCAGCTCTCCCACATCAGTCATCAGTTAAGAAAGTATCCCACAAAGCTTGTACACAGGCCAGTCTGATGGGAGCAATTCCTCAACTGAAGTTCCCTCTTCCCGGTGTACTCAGTTAATTTGTGTCAAGTGGACAAAAACAAAACAGCACAGTTGAAAAACAGGTCCACAACAGCCCATGGAGGAACGCTATATGTGTGTGCTCTGCTCTTTTGGCTCACTGCACTCTGGATTCCGTGTGCATCGCCCTGAGCCCTTTCTTATTCCCCTCATGCATTGGGTAACTCCAACCAAGGTAGATGCGCTTCTCCAGGCCTGGTTCCTCCTCAGCCATTTTTCCTCAGACCCAGGGGTTCAGACTTCATCTCCTCCTTCAGACAAAAGCCAATCCAGACCCCTCAGGCTGTGCCAAGAAAGAAGTTCTTGGAAAGGAGCCTTGGACATCTTTCAAAAGAAGGGCCTGTGGGTAAGTGTTACAGCTCTGAGGGGGAAGGGTTCGTGGTAGTCGGTAGCCAAGGAAAACCATAAAGTCACACTAACAAACCTTACTCAAAAGAGAAGGGAGAGGGATCAGCCTAGATCATCTTGCCTTTGTCCCCAAACCTTGGATCTAACAGAGGTCACTATACCATGAGGAATTGTATTACAGGTTCACGGCATTAGGAAGGTTGAGAACCACTGTACCATATAAACATTTTCCCCCTGGTTTTTTGAGACAGTGTTTCTCTGTGTAGCTTTGTCTGTCCTGGAACTCTGCTCTGTAGACCAGGCTGGCCTCAAACTCACTGAGCTCCACCTGTCTTTGCCTCCTGAGTGCTGGGATTAAAGGCATGTGCCTTCACTGCCCAGCAGAAATTTTTTAAAAATATGCAAAGTTAAAAGAGCTGAATTCTTGATAGAAGCTATCAAATGATAAATAAGAGTTTAATAATAAGGTTGAAGGAATGCTGAAATCAAGTCAACTCTTTGTACCAAGAAGTAAGCAATGTTCCCAGTGTCCTCCATGATTGCTAAGTCACCAGGGTCAAAGGTTGCTTGGGAACACTGTATTTACCAGTCTCAAACACTTCACTCATTTTCTTGTTAATCAAGAGAAAGCTGGGGCAGAAGAGATGGCTCAGGGGTTAAAAGCACTGGCTGCTCGTGCAAGAGGATCCAGGTTTGATTCCCAGCACCCATGTGGTAGCTCACAACCTCAGTTCCAGGGGTGACCCTTAGAACTGGAATTACTGATGTAGGTGCTTGGGATTGAACCCCGGTCCTTTGGAAGAGCAGTACTCTTAACTGCTGAGCCATCTCTCCAGTCCCGACCCTATATTCTGTATAACCTATTATTCTATTCAAACGTGTACCTTGACTCGGTACTGGGGTTTGAAAAAAAAAAAAAGTAATAAAGAATGTTATTTGGCAGCTGGGGCCGGCACGTGGACAGTGGCTAATAGTACTGAAGTCACTTCCATTTCCAGTTTGTTTTGTTGTAGCTGCAGAGGAGACTGTCGCCAGGAGAGGGGGACTGCAAGTAACTAATGTCAGGAGGTGGGGAGGAAAGAAATGAGGAGAGTGAAACTGTTCACGGCTGCTGCGTTTAAGGCTCAGTTGGTTTGAATGTAGGCCAAGTACCTTCAGCCTCACGAAGGTGTGACAGAGTCCTGGCCACAAGGTATCGTGTTTGGCTGTTTAGCACGGGCCGCAGCCGCCTGCACCCTTCCGCTAGCTGTCCCTTCCTTGGGTCCACCGCGGCCTCGGCAGCATCAGCTGTTCCGTGCACGAGACGCTCCTTCAGGTAGGGGCTCTGCAGCAAGGTAAACCGAGGCGCGGGAGAGGCTGGCTCGGAGCCTGCGCGGCGAGTCCACATTTGCAACCTTCCTCTCACTTAAGCCCGGTCTGACCGGAGACCCTAGAGGCGTGGGCGGGGCGGGGCCGGCCATGCTGTCAATCTCGAGCCCGCCGCAGCCGCCGACTGGTGGGCCTGGTGGGGCTCCAAGTCAGCTCACCGCCTTCACCAATCGCAGGACGCTGCTGTCAAACTCCACTTCAGATTGGTCGTGGGTGACATCACGTCATCTGAGACGGTGCTTCAGGCAGACACTTGGGGCGGGGCTGGAGAGAGCGGTTCTAATGTCTGGACCTTGCGCGCAGGTGAGGGTTGGTGTACACAGATCAGCCCGAGAGCTGCGGGAGAGGGACGGTGCGCACTGACGGGGTTTGTGGAAAGCGTCGGGAGTGCAGGCGAGGGGACCGTGTGTGCAGATGGGGTTGAGTATTCGGGGAAGGAGGCAGTGTGTGAGATGGAGGGGGATGTGCATGTGAGATTAGTGTTTATGTATATTAGGGCGTGCGCATTTGCACAGGTTTGGGGTAGATTGGTAAACAAATGTGCTGACTTAGGGATGTGAGCGCAGGGTAAGGGACCAATGTGCAGATCGGGGGCGTGTGCGTAAGAGAGGGGGCTGTGTGCTCGAGCGTGGGGAGATGTGTGCTTAGGGAAAGGGCCTGTGGGCCGGGCCGGGCCGGGTCGGAGAGGGGATGGGAGAATTGCTTGCCCAGATTGTCAGGTGCACCTGTAAGCAGGGGCTGTAGGCGAACCTTGCTTTGCTTAGCTGGGGCCTGTGGATAGGAGAGGGATGTGAGCCCAAGTCTCTGGGGGACCTTCGAATGTATGGAGGGCCAAGTGTAGACTTGCTCCTTGGCACACCCTCCATACCACAGGGCACATACAGCCTGGCGAATCTCTTCAGTAGGATCTGAACGATTCTACTCTCTCAGGAGATAGATGGATTGCCCACTGACATGAGCGTCTTGGGAAGCTCTAGGCATATCTGGCCTCCCAGGTTGTGGAGAACCTCCTGTCCCCCTAAAGATCAGGATGGTTTTCAGAGGAAGAATTTAAAAAACCGAACATCTTAATTTATTTATTTATTTATTTATTTATTTATTTATTTATTTATTTATTTATTTATTTATTTTTGAGCTACTTCTGATAGAATCTTCTGGAAATTGCTCCTTAAAGCAAAACAAAAAAACCCCAAAGCAGCCGATAGGCATAGTGGGTCTGCATGCCAGGAAGAGGTGACCTCGTAGGGTATGCTAAAGCCCTGTTGCCAAAGAATTTGATAAACAACCTTTGGGCAGAAAGGGACAAGTAGATGTTGTAAGGATAATCTGTGGAACAATCTGAAATGGTAACGAGGCCTGGGGTGGACCTGAGAGAGGAGAAAACACTTTTTGCTTCTCATCTGATGTATATTTTGGAACTTATGAGAAGCTTTGTGGCTTTGATCAGAAATAGGGATTATTCCAAAGAATCAGGGATCCTTTCCTCCCTCTTTGTGCTTGTGCTTATTTCTGGGGCTTCAACCTCCACAGGGACCCCAAGCTTTCAAGATAAGTCAGACCAAAGTTCTGTGCTCAGAGCATCAGAGGGGCCCACGTGCGGAGCTCACTAGTCATGGGTCACCCCAGAAGCCAGCCTCATCTGACCTGGAGAAAGTGGTGTGGCACAGTGAACTCGCAGATGCCACTTGACCACAGAGGCTCTTCCATTAGGAAAAATGAGGACACCCCCAACATGCCAGTTTGTAACGCTCCCACAGAGCCCAAGTAGAACCTCATCTTCTAGGTTCTTCCGTGACACAGGAAGGGCTTTTCCCTGCTGACGTCTGTTCGCAGAGTCAGCTCTCTAGCGCTGAGTGTCTGGTTTCCCTGGTGACTGTCAGTGGGTATGGCACAACTTTGCATGTCTATGCAGAACACTTCAGGAAGTTCTGGCATCTCTGCCTGCTGCCACAGCCCCAAGTATTTCCCAGGATCAATTTCTATCGGCTCACGCAGGTGGGCATGCTTCTCACTCCTCATCCATTTCCACGATTCTCTTGTATTCTCAGTGGCTCCTAGTATGTTCCGTGGTCAGGTACCAGCTGCCTGGTGAGTGATGGCCCCGAGGATTGCGAGTGCGAGAATGGTTTTACACGTGCAGGCACAGCTGTCAGCATCCTAGGAAAATCTGTTAATATCTGCCTGTGCTGGGTCTAGCATTCCCGAGCCTCTCTAAAGATTTCCATCCATTCACCCCCGTGCAGCCCTCCATGCTCTTGCCGACATGGCTCAGTCACCCCAGATGGACTCTGTTGAGTATGTACCCCAGGTCCTGAGCTCTCGTCCCTTCCTGATGTCAGCAGTGGCCTTGATACATACTCGTGGATTCTCATGTCCCTTTGACCTTGACATTTCGGCTCCCTGGGTGACTTCGGTGTTTTGTGGCCTCTGTGGCAGGGTGTTGCTCAGCATACGGACAAGGACTGAACAGACCTTGGGTGACTTCTGAGCCTGGACATTTCAAGAGCCACTTCTGAGAAAGAAAACTTCATTCTGTTGTGAAACCTCTGGTCCAGTGATAAAAGGTGAGTATGTTGATCACAGTGCCTGTGAGAATAGGCAGTGGAAGTGAGGTACTGTTTTAAAAGCTAAAGAATGGGCTGGAAAGGTGGCTTGGTGGCAGAGAGCACTGGCTGCTCTTCCAGAAGACCCGGGTTCAATTCCCAGCACCCACTTGATGGCTCACAACTGTCTGTAACTCCTATTCCAGGGGATCTGATACCCTCACCTAGACACATGCAGGCAAAACACCAATGTACCTACAGAAAAATAAATAAATTAGAGAAAATAAAAAATTAAAAAATATCTCAAAATAGCAACCCCTAAATGAAGAAATCAGTGTACCAGTCACACGTGTTATGTGAGCTGAGTGTAGAAGGGGATCCCCTCTACCCAGCTGTCCCCTCTGGTTGTATATACATCTTTTCACAGAATTTGACGCCTGTGAGTGGTGTGACCAGGTATGTGATTTATAAATACATTTAAGATAGTTACTTTTGTATTCCCCCCACCCCAAGTCTCATGTAGACCAAGCTGGCCTTGAACTTTCTGTGTAGTTCTGCATGATCTTGAACTCCTGATCCTCCTGCCTCCATCTCCCAAGTACTGGGATTTCAGGTGTGCACCACCACACCCAGTTTATGCAGTGCTGGGGATTGAACCCAGGACTATGTGCATGCTAGGGTTTGACCAACTCTACCAACTAGAGTTGGTACCAGCTAGGCCAGAGGACCAGCCCCACTTGTTTTTATTTTAATCACTGTTTTGGGAGGGGGAAGTATGCCATAGTGCATAGAGGTCAGAGGACAGCTTGTAAGAGTTGGTTCTCTAAAAACTGCATGGTACTGGCATAGAAACAGAAAGGAGGATCAATGGAACCGCATAGAAGACACAGAAATAAACCCACACACCTATGAATACTCGTTATTTGACAAAGAAGCCAAATCCATTCAATGGAAAAAAGACAGTATATTCAACAAATGGTGCTGGTCCAACTGGATGTCTACATGCAGAAAAATGAAAATAGATCCATATTTATCACCCTGAACAAAACTAAAGTCCAAGTGGATCAAAGACCTCAACATAAAACCAGATACTCTAAATCAGTTGGAAAAAGAAGTGGGGAACAGCCTAGAACTCATTGGCACAGGAGACAACTTCCTGAACAGAATACCAACAGCACAGGCTCTCAGAGCAACAATCAATAAATGGGACCTCATGAAACTGAAAAGCTTCTGTAAAGCAAAAGACACAGTCATCAAAACAAAACGACTGCCTACAGATTGGGAAAGAATCTTCACCAACCCTTTATCTGACAGAGGGCTAATATCCAGTATATATAAAGAACTAAAGAAGCAGAAAAGCAACAAACCAAGTAATCCCATTAAAAAATGGGGAACGGAGCTAAACAGAGAATTCTCGAAAGAGGAACATCAAATGGCAGAGAAACACTTAAAGAAATGCTCAACCTCATTAGCCATTAGGGAAATGCAAATCAAAACAACCCTGAGATTTCACCTTACACCCATCAGAATGGCCAAGATGAAAAACTCAAGTGACAACACATGCTGGAGAGGTTGTGGTGAAAGGGGAACCCTCCTCCATTGCTGGTGGGAATGTAAACTGGTACAACCACTTTGGAAGTCTATCTGGCGCTTTCTCAGACAATTAGGAGTAGTGCTACCTCAAGACCCAGCTATACCACTCCTAGGTATATACCCAAAATTTACTCAAGTACACAACAAGGACATTTGTTCAACCATGTTTGTAGCAGCTTTATTTGTAATAGCCAGAACTTGGAAACAACCCAGATGTCCATCAACAGAGGAATGGATACAGAAATTGTGGTATTTTTACACAATGGAATACTTCTCAGCAATCAAAAGGGTGGAAATCATGAAATTTGCAGGCAAATGGTGGTATCCAGAAAAGATCATTCTGAGTGAAGTATCCCAGAAGGAGAAAGACAAACTTGGTATATACTCGCTTATATAGACCTACAAGATATGATAAACATAATGAAATCTACACACCTAAAGAAGATGGACATGGGTGAAGATGATCACAAGAAAGTGGACATGGGTGAAGATGATCAATCCTCATTTAGAAAGACAAATGGGATGTGCATTGAATGTATGACAGGAGTCTACCGCAAAAGGCATCTGAAAGACTCTACCTAGCAGTGTTTCAAAGCAGACACTAAGACTCATAACCAAACCTTGGCAGAGTGCAGGGAATCATATGAAAGAAGGGGAGTTAGTATGATATGGAAAGGATAGGAGCTCTGCAAGTACCAAATATATCCGGGCACAGGGTCTTTTCTGAGACTGACACTCAACCAAGGACCATTTATGGATATAACATAGAACTTCTGCTCGGATGTGGCCCATGGTAGCTCAGTAACCAAGTAGTTTTCCAAAGTAGGGGGAACAAGGACTATTTCTAACAGGATCTCAAGGGCAGGCTCTTTGACCCCCCCCCCCCCCAGGGGAGGAGCAGTCTTGTTAGGCCACAGAGGAGGACTTTGCAGCCAGCCTTGAAGACACCTGATAAAACAGGGTCAAATGAAAGGGGAGGACGTCCTCCCCTATCAGTGGACTTGGAAAAGGGGCAGGGAGGAGACCAGGGAGGGAGTTGGGGAGGGAGAGGACATGAGGGAGTGGGATACAGCTGGGACACAGAGTTAACAAATTGTAACTAAAAAGAAAAATAAAAATTAAAAAAAAATAGGAAAAAAAAAAAGAGTTGGTTCTCTTCCTCCACCACGTGGGTCTCAGGGATTGAACCCAGGTTGTCTGCCTCAGCAAAAAGCACCTTTACCCACTGAGCCATCCTGCCGGCCCTTGTCTTTTTATTTTTTCATCCTGGATGATGTATGTCATTGCCAGGTGCGGTGGATCACACCTGTAATCTCAGCAACGGGAGGCAGAGACAGGAAGATGGCTGTGAGTTCAAGGCCAGTCTAAACTATAGAATAAGACCCTGACTCCAGAAACTCCCAGAAAGCTGTACATTCTGTATTTAGGTTGGAGGTTCTCCCCTCACTGGCTTTTACAATTTTCTAGCTTGTTAGATTATCAGAAAAGCAGTGTTGGTGCCAAGATTTATAT